TAGACGCAGAATTCTTCGCTACAAAGAGGAAATTGGCTCAAGTGAGGGAATCAAGTCAGCCTGTCAATTCAAGTTGGGCCAACAGCAGTGCATTGAGAGTCTGTCCCGCCAGGCATACAGGTAGTGTTAGATGTCAGTTGTGAGTGAAGGAGAGCTCTGTAACACCGCATGTTGTATACAATGTGGACACGACACCAAAGTGTCTTGTGGCAAACACCATGATTAGAGCCACTAACATGTCCAGTATGACAATCTCCTCGTCTCACCACTCCTACCACTGCACACTGCAGCCACGGACCTATTAACACACTCCCCTTTGGAAACATTTTGCTCCTAAATAAAACGCTTGACAATGTATCAATTTACTTACTAACCAGTACATTGGCCTCTAAATGCCATGTCGGTCAGTTATAAATAATTGTGTGCCTGCCTCTGATTGGTGTGCCAGTGGAGGTATTTGCTTCCAGTCGAAGCATTTGGTGACCCAAATTAGGCTAATGTGACAAATGCGAATTGATGCAGATGCAGCAGAGTCAGTTTAAGATGGAAGCATGAGTAGTGAGTACCTGCGTCTCAATTGCACATAAATACACCTTTGTTACATTCCCTTTACCAGAACAAGCGATTCACAGCCACGTTACAGTAAACACAGCGTCTCATATAATACTGGCATTAGCTAACCCATGTCACAGTGATTCTCACGTCTTCGCCAACCATATTTCAATCTGGAGTTCCGATTCAAATAGAAGGGCAAACCTTGATGGTAGGTGATGCTTACGTATCACTGGAGGCATTTTCCGACAAGCTTCCTACTCATCGGCGTGTGTTGAGTAAAGCCTTCTGACTAAAACACCACGACATTTCACTGAGGACATTTTAAATACCAAAAGACTGTCCACCACACCACCTATCTACCCTCTCATTTGCCTACTTTTATGACTGCGTGCTTGCTTGCCTGCCTGACAAACTCCCTGCCTACCTGGTCATCCACCTCACTGGGATATCACCACTTGAATGGCTAATGGACACCGATACTTAAGTGGACATTTTTATTCGCTTACGTATAACCGAGTGTCAATTCTTTCTCCATAATGGTGATAAGCAGCTTTTGTACCCCACTGATAACTAGCTCTTCAATTCCTTTACTTAAAAACTTGTCATACGTTAAATGCTTGTTGCTACCTCTTTTCTGGTATTCGGCCAATTGGGAGCTCTGCCATTGCTCCTTGGATGGGCCATCTGGCCTCCAAGTCATGCCATTGGCATCCGAATCTCTCTACATCAACAAGGTGTGTTCTCCTCTAGTATCCTTTCTTCTTACGTCTTCGAAGAAGTCTCCAAGTCCTACAACCTGCCTATGCAGTGACAGGGGAAATTGGATGCCGACTAGGGGAGCGGGTGTTTCTAGCATCACCCACCGATTCTGACTTCAGACATTTTACCTACTGGTGGCTCAGCCCAACTTCAATGATTCTTAAAAGCATGGAAGCAATAATCAAGGGTAATAAACTTTATCAGAGCAAATTTTCAATCTCGATCAGTCTTTAAATGAAGCACTTTTGCCAAATTAAAAGAACAGTTTAGTGGATGCTACAACTAGTGAATAGGACTGCAGAAGCAGTCATTTTCTTAAACCAGTTCCTTATTTTCATTGAAATTTTAACCTACACAGGTGATTTGAATTTTTACATCCTTTTGCATAAATACGAAGTAGTTTCAAAAAGAACCTTTATTTTGAATTTTGTTATAATCGGTAAGGCAACAAAACTGCTCATTGCCGCTTAGTCGCGCACATTTTAAACTTGAAATTAAGGAGGCATTGGAAGGTTTAGCAGGACGAAAACACATTCTTCTACACCAAAGCTAACAATTAGTGGATCGTTACTACTGGCCATCTAGGGAAGTCCACTTAAGCTAGTGATATCACAAAGGCATGCTAACTTTGCCTAGTAGAAGGCGTTCAATAATGCTTTCGTCAGATCAAAAGGGTTTAGCCCACGCGAATGGGGAAAAAAGCTGGATACAATAACAAGCTATAAAGCTTGCATAAAGGTAGCAGTAACAAAAAGCCAATCATCCTTCATAAACATCATTTCGGACTCTTTTTAGAGTATATGGTACGTTTAATTTCAACTGTGAAGACAAGGAGGCCGCTGACTTACGCAAGTTTGTCTGCCTGTCAAAAGGGATTGATGTTGTGACGGAGAGGATTGTCTATATCATGCAAATCAAACACCAATCACACATTTCTAAAATAAGTACAATTTGTCAGGTTGATAAATGTTGTTTGGCATTAACCGTAGATGCAGGTGGAGGGGAACCCATTTATTGGGGTTGAGAGGAGTTGCGTCAAACGGTCAGTCATTTGCGACTTCACACCACAGCCACCAGCAATGGCGATC